AAAAAAAAAAAAAAAGGGCGGGGGAGACTGAAGCTGTCAGGGTTATCTGTCCGCTGTGGGCCCCAGCCTGCTGTGGATGAGGTAATGAAACTTAAGGCCAAAGCGGGTGGGGGTGGGGGTAACAGTGGGAGGAAAGGAACTGCAGGCCAAGGCAGACATGGGGCAGGCGGGCGCACTGAGTTTCCTGGACACCTGCAGGGCTCCAAGGTCCTGCTCCCTTCCGGAAATCTCTCCCAAGTTTTCTCCAATCGCAGTCTCAGCCCCTGTCCCCGTTTGGGGCACCAACACCAACGTGGAAGAGGAGACTGCAGCTGCCAGCTTTTGACCTGTGTGCCACCCGGAGCTAAAGGCACAGCCATGTGACCCCTGGGAGTTTCCTCTCTAAATCATCCGTGCCTCCCCGCTGCCCTCCTCTACAGCAGGAGAGCTGCCTGCGATGCCGCTTACTTTGTGAGAGGAGTGCAAAACCATCTGTGTGCTGCGGAGCACAGCAGGCTGAGACCGTGCTGGCAGGAAGAGGAACGTTAGCGCTGATTTTCTCCTGGGCGGGGGAGGAGCTTGGCACTTTGGAGGTAACTGGGTACCTTACAAGCTAAAAGAAAGGGAAGGTGAGGCAGAGTCCAGGAGCAGGAACCAAGAGGAAAACAGGCTTCACCCGGCAGGGGAGTGAAGCCGAGACAGAAGGAAGGGGAAGGCAGCGTGGGGTGAGGCAGGGCAGCGTGGAGTTAGCCAAAAGAAAGCCGAACTGGGGCTTGTGCACAATTATGATGAACCATTGCAAGGAGTCAGGTGTCGCGTCTGGCTGGGGAACATGATCCCGATCCCAGGAGGTCAGCTGGTAGCCCCTGATGCATTTTATTTATCTATGAAGCACACTTGGAAAACTGGGACATTTCACATGTAAATCTGAGAGTTCTGGCAGCGCTCGGCTCACATGTCAGCAGAGCAGTCGAAGAGGAGCTGGGTTTACCAAGGCCCCTGCCTCGCTTGCCCTGTGAGCCTTGGTGCTCTTCAGCCCACCCCCTCTTTCTGTGACTGCCCGGCTCCCATGGGGGCTGCAGGTTGGTTTTGATAATAAAGATTCTCTTCTATTGAGAAGTTGTGTGTGTGTGTGTGTGTGTGTGTGTGTGTGTGTTGCAGGTACGTGCCCATACCAGGTACACAAGTGTCCACTCTTTCAACTAATACTTCTTTTCACTTGAGCATGCCAGATGCACAAAACCAAATGTACCCCTCTCCTTGAGAGATTTTGCAGCCTCTCCAGGCGATCTGCCAAATAGCTAGATGGCATTTGTGTTTAAAAAAAAAAAAAAAATTGAGTGCATTTTGTTATTTTGGTTTTAAGGATTTCCCAAAATAACAATTAAGACAATCTTTCATTTATGACATACTTTATAGCTTTCAAAGCACTTCTTAAACATTCATAAATTCATTTCATCCTTCCAGAAGTTCCAGAAGGTCAGAGTTTGGCTCTCTTTTCCAAGCTTTCTTAGAGGAAACTGACTTGTAGACAAGCCAAATGACTTGCCTTGGTCCCCTAGTGATTTCAAGATTGATGTTCAGGCCCATAGAAAACTAAGCGATGTCTTTTTTACGGTATGGAATTATAAAAAGGGATGCTTTGAAAACTATAGCGTTGAGAATGTGGTCTCTTTCCAGAATACGTGAGTGGGACTGCCAGTTTGGCCACCCTATAACAGTGCTAAGTCTTCAGGCAAAGTACTCAATTTTCCTGCACCTCCTTTTCTGTAAAATGGGGATAACAGCTCGCAAATAGTGTTGTGTGGATTACATGAGATTGTACATGTAAAGTGTTTAGACAACGCTTGGCGTACAGTAAGCTTTCAATAAATACCACTAGAAGTTCTAATAGTATTTGTACTGTGGGAAGCACTGTATTAGGGCATAGGCCAAGTTGTAACAAAAAGATCTCAAAATACATTTGCAGACAAGAACAGAAGTTTCTTTCTCTTTCGCCTAATGGCTAAGAGTTGGCTGTTCAGTAAAGGGCAGAGAAACAACGCTGCTTGACATGGCCACTTGGGAAGCCGGGTTCCATCCTCGTTGCTCCCTATTCTGCGGAGTCAACCTGGCTCGCTTCCACCCTCTGTTCCTGCCTGTGGGAAGAGGACAAAAGGAGGTGGAGGGTGAGTGTCCCCTTCTAAATGATGTAATCTATAGAGTTTTTATTGCTGGTCAGTCAGGGTCGTGCACTAAGGTTCGTTTGCTCACTGATGCTCAAATCAAAGGAGGCCATCTACTTTGGTAGGAAGAAGGAAAAAGGATTTATTCAAAGCTGGCTCTGAGGAGATGGAGGAGCCCATTTGGCCTAGATCACCATCTCTCCCTGTAAGGGGAGGAGAGAAGGATCTTTCATAGTAGGGAAGAGTGGAGGGGGAGCACAGACAGATAACGCAGACTTCCACACTGGCTTTATTGCTTCCAGCCATCTTCAGACCCTTTTCTCCTTAAGGAGACTGGGCTCCCGCTTCCCAGGGTGGCATCTGCCTATCCTGCTTTGGGGCTGTGGAGAGGCGGGTGTGTTGGTTATGCGCTCAGTGGGAGGAAGTTTGGAGAAGTTGCTTATCTCTAAAAGAAAAAAAAAAACACCTAACATTTCAAGTTCCATTTCACACTGCCAGTCACACTTTCACTCAGAACCTGGCCACGCTTTGCTGCAAGGGAAGCTGGGAAACATGGTCTCCTTCTTGTCAATGAAACATAACAGTGTAAAACTTAGAGATTCCCTTATTTACAAGGAAGAAAGGAAGAGTAGAAGTCATATCAGTTAGCAGTCTCTGTTCCATGTTACAATGGACACAGGCTTTGAACTTGAAGTTGTTAATATTTCCTGCTAGTTTTTCAGCACTCCTGTCCCCTACTTCTTGTCTTCCAGATACTTGCTTTACCCTTGGGTTTCTTCTTTAGGAAACTGTAGGGATGGCTCTTGGTTCCATGTTTCCGTTGAATACTGTCATGTGTGATCACTCCTTATAGGTTAGTCAGATTCACAGGTTAATCAGCCTATTCTCTCCCTGCCCAATCTTCCTAGCAAGAGTGGCATTGCATTCTGTTTGGGGGGTTGTTTTTCTGGATCTTCTCATTTCCTCAATATGCATTTTAGGTTGCATGCTCCCAAGACTCTAGAAAAGCACTGTCTTTTGGGATCTTTGATCTTGGGTGGCTGACTCAAGAAAGGTATTTGGTCCATGGCTCTGGGATCCACCTTTGTGTGTGTTGAGGAGGGAATCTCTCCCCACCTCTGCCATCACCAAGGAATACCTAAGAAGCCACAGACTGTGCCTAAGAGCCCAAGCACTTGTTTGGTGATGAGATAGGGAACAACATGATCCTGAGCTGCTGTCATCTTTGAGTTCAACCTCCCTAGTTTCCTGAAACTTCTAACTTAAATTATAGCCTGCTTCAATGAACATATATCTCTAAATCAGTGCTCTGTTCTCATTATTGCAAATTATCAATTTTGGACAAGTCAAGAACAGGAGTAGCAGTTGTCTCAAGAGAGCTTACCCCAGGGCCAGGGAAGGTGCTTTCATGAATGTTGTGTAACAGATGAAGAAATTTATTGAATACCTACCGTGTGCTAGGCACCTATTAGAGGCAGAAGTTAAAGCATTAAATAACAAGACCAGAATCAAATGGACTTTACAACCTAACAAGAGTACATACATAAATCATTTCATTTAATGCTTCAAATTCTGCAAAACGTGTTTTTCACATGTTATAGACAAGAATATTGAGACCTGCTGGGGATGTGGCTCAGTGGTAGAACATTTACCTAGCGTATGTGGGCGCCTGGGTTCTATCCCCAGTGCCACAAAGAAAAATGTTGAGACCAGAGGGGAAAATGGTGAGGCTGAATTTGAATCCATACCTGCCTGATTCTAAAATCCCAGCTCTTCTATCATTATCCCATTTGCCTCCAGTTACTTGCTTTGTTGAAGAGGGAACCTAGCTATTTGAAGGATGGCCTTGACCCTTCTACCAAACACCTGAACCATTTACTACTGTTAACTAAGAGGTGACTATGAGGGTCAGTCTCTCTCTCTATCCTGTGTCCCCCTGTAACTATTCCACTTTCCTTTCTGTGTGAACCTACCCATCTGGATCCCACTTCTGGAACATCTCTGTCCTGCCCCTTGCTGGGGTGCTGACTATGCTGAAGGATGTCAATCTACTATGCGTTATTTTGACCATTCAGAGTCCTGGGCCCCTAAGACTGCCTGGAGACCCTTCCAAATGTCCGTAGGTACTTTTTTGTCCCGTTGCCATTGGCATCTCCTCCTTACTGTCCCTCTTCCTTAACTCCTTTCCTTTCCTTTCCTTTCCTTTTCCTTTCCTTTCTTTTTCTTTCTTTCTTTCTTTCTTTCTTTCTTTCTTTCTTTCTTTCTTTCTTTCTTCCTCCCTTCCTTCCTTCTTCTTTCTTTCTTTTTCTTTCTTTCTTTCCTTTCTTTCTTTCTTTCTTTCTTTCTTTCTTTCTTTCTTCCTCCCTTCCTTCCTTCCTTTTTCTTTCTTTTTCTTTCTTTCTT